ACATGAATATTTCTATATTGTGTATATATATATATATATATATATATATTTTTTTTTTTTAAGGATGTCAAGCTTTAAAATATTTTATTGGGTAGAAAAATGTAGCATCTGTAAAAAAAAGAAAAAAAAAGTGAAATGGGGGGCCTTGGAGTCAAAAAGCTTGAGAAGCACTGATGTAATACTGATGTAGATGTGTGCTCCGGTACAGGACGGGCTACTTCAGGCTGACTGACTACGGCATGGAGGAGATCTCAAGATGCGCTCAGAAAGGCTTTCATCCGCACCCCAAAGAACCTCCTCTCTTTACTGTAAGTGACATCAACCTACACCTGAGTGTTCAGCGCTGTTTCATGAGTCATATATGATAAATACAGTTTTTGTCTTCTGTTTTTCCCCTCAGGATGGTATTCACATTAGAATCACAGAAGGCACTGTATCGATGCTAGACCTGCGATGATCTCTCTCTGGTGTTCACACGGTGGTACCATGAAGCTTTTTTTTTTTTTTTAATCTGTCCTCGCTAACTCCTCTGATGGCCTCTCGTATGGCACCGGCTTTCACTGGTGGTGGGTTTCTTGAGACAGACACTCGTCTAAAACAAGCACTTTTTGGGAAATATGAAGACACTAACTGAAGCAGCGTTTTTTTTTTTAATGACATCCGTCGGGAGCTCGGGAACACAAACACCTCCACAGGACTGCAGCTCATCCCTGTATCAGGTCGCGTTGTACTTATGATCTAGTGAGCTGTACGCAAATGTTTTGTTGCCCTCCAAGTTTATTTATGCTCTTAGTGACGTCACACATCTGCAGAAACAACACTAAAACAAAGGGTTTCATAAGCTATTGAGTGTCTTTGGGAAAAGCGGAGCGGGTCAATCCTGCAGGGTTTTTTTTTTTTAATGACATCCGTCGGGAGCTCGGGAACACAAACACCTCCACAGGACTGCAGCTCATCCCTGTATCAGGTCGCGTTGTACTTATGATCTAGTGAGCCGTACGCAAATGTTTTGTTGCCCTCCAAGTTTATTTATGCTCTTAGTGACGTCACACAAACTAACATATCACATCTGCAGAAACAACACTAAAACAAAGGGTTTCATAAGCTATTGAGTGTCTTTGGGAAAAGCGGAGCGGGTCAATCCTGCAGGGCTGCACCTGTCACGAATGCCAGCGCTAACAGTTTACTTAATTTCATATATATTTTCTAAAAGCAACTTCAGTTTTGGTAACAATAATTAGTCCATGATGTTGAATTCTCAGTTCTGATTGGTTGACACAATCTGACAAGCCATTGAAAACCACTGCTATACAACAGAGCTGGTTTTAAGTTGAGCATTGTGGTTTTAGAATGCCACTGAGAAAGACTCGACACGTGAGCACAACAGTCAAACAAGTCCATCTAGCACATATTTACACACAAAATATGGAAAAGCAGGGCAATGGAATGCAAAAACGTGTTCTTTGTGAACAACTTGATCAAGGTTTGTTTTGTATGCAGTTGTACAGTTTCATATCAGGGATAGAAGGAAGCTGTTGAATTTGCAAAATCTCTATTCTGCTTGTTTTTTATGAATGAGACCTATAATATAGATATGTGACTCTGGACCACAAAACCAGTCATAAGGGTCAATTTTTTGAAATTGAGATTTATACACCACCTCAAAGCTGAATAAATAAGCTTTCCATTGATGTATGGTTTGTTATGATAAGACAATATTTGGCCGAGATAGAACTATATGAATATCTGGAATCTGAGGGTGCAAAAAAAAAATCAAAATATTAAGAAAATCGCCTTTAAAGCTGTCCAAATGAAGTTTTTAGCAATGCATAGTACTAATCAAAAATTAAGTTTTGATATATTTACGGTAGGAAATTTACAAAATATCTTCATGGAACATGATCTTTAATATCCTAATGATTTTTGGCATAAAAGAAAAATCTATAATTTTGACCCATACAATGTGTTTTTGGCTATTGCTACAAATATACCCCAGCGACCTGTGCTCCAGGGTCACATATTTGTGGTGAAGGTGATAAAGGCAGGATGACTGATGACAGGCCACTGGATTATTAAAACTTGATGCACACATTGTGCATGAATTCATTCAGTGGTCTGTTGTTCCTTATTGTAACTGATGAAGATCCATATCACTACTTACCTGTTATTGATGTTTTTGACTGGTAACTTTCTGCTTCTTGTTTATTACAGTTTTCTCTCTTTGAAGGTATGAACTGATAAAGAAATCAGTCAAACACTGAAGAAACTGACAGACAGTCTGAGTCTCGTTTCTTTATTAATATGCAACTGGTTGCTGTTAGTACTATGTAGAAATATTAAGAACAGAGACAGCAGGCTGAATTACACATGAAACCCCTGTGTTAAAGATGGGAACATTACATAATAAATTAAGATAAAAAAAAAATAAATCAACCGTTTCACAGTATTTGCAGATTTAAAGATGATTTTTTTTTTTGCTGTATGTGTAGCAAATCAGTTTATGAGCAGTAGCTGATCCATACTGCCATAGAGATGTTCATTCAAATGCTTTTTAAGGTTTTGGGCAGGACGTTACCCTCTGTTCTTTGATCACAGAAAATGCCGAAATGTTTCCAGAACCATCCCAACCCACTAATCAAAGCCCGTGTTCACTGAGGTCCGGGACACAAACATCATTTCCTCACGTCAGAGATCGTCTGGCCTTGTTGCTGGCAGTCGTCTGAGGTCAGGCACTGGTTTTTCAACTTCGATTGAGAAGGTTGACATCAGCCCAGCCAGTCCAGGTCATCATCATCATCACCAAACAGAGGGGCGGGAGGGGGACGTCCTTTCAGGCTCTGAGGACATTCACAGAGAAGCATCAGTCAGTTCACTGTTAATAACATGACCTTTAATATCCTAATGATTTTTGGCATAAAAGAAAAATCTATAATTTTGACCCATACAATGTGTTTTTGGCTATTGCTACAAATATACCCCAGCGACCTGTGCTCCAGGGTCACATATTTGTGGTGAAGGTGATAAAGGCAGGATGACTGATGACAGGCCACTGGATTATTAAAACTTGATGCACACATTGTGCATGAATTCATTCAGTGGTCTGTTGTTCCTTATTGTAACTGATGAAGATCCATATCACTACTTACCTGTTATTGATGTTTTTGACTGGTAACTTTCTGCTTCTTGTTTATTACAGTTTTCTCTCTTTGAAGGTATGAACTGATAAAGAAATCAGTCAAACACTGAAGAAACTGACAGACAGTCTGAGTCTCGTTTCTTTATTAATATGCAACTGGTTGCTGTTAGTACTATGTAGAAATATTAAGAACAGAGACAGCAGGCTGAATTACACATGAAACCCCTGTGTTAAAGATGGGAACATTACATAATAAATTAAGATAAAAAAAAAATAAATCAACCGTTTCACAGTATTTGCAGATTTAAAGATGATTTTTTTTTTTGCTGTATGTGTAGCAAATCAGTTTATGAGCAGTAGCTGATCCATACTGCCATAGAGATGTTCATTCAAATGCTTTTTAAGGTTTTGGGCAGGACGTTACCCTCTGTTCTTTGATCACAGAAAATGCCGAAATGTTTCCAGAACCATCCCAACCCACTAATCAAAGCCCGTGTTCACTGAGGTCCGGGACACAAACATCATTTCCTCACGTCAGAGATCGTCTGGCCTTGTTGCTGGCAGTCGTCTGAGGTCAGGCACTGGTTTTTCAACTTCGATTGAGAAGGTTGACATCAGCCCAGCCAGTCCAGGTCATCATCATCATCGTCATCATCACCAAACAGAGGGGCGGGAGGGGGACGTCCTTTCAGGCTCTGAGGACATTCACAGAGGAGCATCAGTCAGTTCACTGTTAATTTGAGTTATTGAACAAACACATTGTAAATGGCATATATTAACTAGTAATCTCTGCCACTGATTTCATTGGTTGAACAAACAGAGTCCCGCCCCCAAACTCACTCTATTGGTTCAATGTTATAGTTTTGGGCATGTTTTTTGCAACAGAACCACACAAGGACAATTCTATTACAATTCTTCACTAAATCATGTGATGCATCATAAAATAGTCATTTAGTTTCAATGGCTATTTTGGAATGATGCATTTTTGGATATTCATAATTATTTTCCAATATATGCTGAGAACATTAATGTGCACTACTGTTAAAAAGTCTGGGGGTCAGTGTTTTTTTTTTTTTTTTTGGTTGAAAAATTAAAAACATTTATAGACTTGCAAATGTTTTCTATTTGAAATAAATGCTGTTCTTTTGAACTTTTGTACTCAAAGGATCATGAAAAAAAGTTTTTTACAAAAATTTGAAGCAGCACAACTGTTCAACATTGATAATAATCAGAAATGTTTTGGAGCAGCAAATCAGCGTATCAGAATGATTTCTGAAGATCATGTGACACTCAGGACTGGAGTAATGATGCTGGAAATTCAGCTTTGCATCACAGAAATAAATTACATTTTAACATACTCAGAAAACAGTTCTATTAAATTCTAATAATATTTCATAATAGCACTTCTTTCTTTTTTTACGATAAATGTAACTGTTTACTGTATTTTTGATCAAATAAATGAAGACCTTTATTTAAACATTAAATCTTACATATCGAAAACTGGAGTGACAACTTTGCTTTATAGTAAAACATTGACAAAATACACCAGGTAAGTCTGACGAACTCATACAAATAATGATTTGGATAAGTAATTGCTTAATGCATTGGATATTATAATGGTAAATTATAATGAAGTACCGCAGTAATATTAAATTACAGTACTGTAATGGATGCATTGAATTTTCATTATGGAATCTATGCATCGCAATGTGCTTTAAATTTTAGAATATTTTTTTTTTATTACAATATATTGTATTTATGATTTATTTTATGACAACTTTGATGATATAGTCATAGAAAGAAACTGTGATTCACAGGAGAAGAGTTTTCTCCTAGCATTATAGACCTGGCTGGACTCGTAGCTTGTTCATTGTGGGCACCAAACCAACAACCTTCCGGTAACCAGCGCTAAACCACTACACCGCATTCATTCACAATATATCAAGCAGCTTGAGAACTGTCAATATTAGAAGACAATCTAGACCTTTAATGACACATAGTTAATAATCAATAATTAGGTTAATTACACATTTTCAAAAGGATTGACTTGTCTACGAAGGACATTGTGTTTTCAGTTTTAAATGACAATCAAATAATTAGTTTGTGAGAATGAAGAGCAGCAGATGGATGTGGAGTGTGAGAGAGAGAGAGAGAGAGAGAGCCCTGCTCACCAGCTCCTCCTCCTCTTCATCGGCCGCTGAGGCAGTGGGTGCAGATGGGGGCTGGGGAGGGGTGGAACTCTGGAAAAATGGTTCCCCTCCATTTTCCTCTTCTACCCTCTCAGAAGGACTGAGAGAATAGCAGGAGATGAGACGAGAGACAGAGAAACAGGACAGAGCGTCTGGATGACACACATGCTCACAGTGAAGGTTAAAGCAGGGCTCGTGTTAGTCGATACGCTTAAGTTAATATACAGTGTTATGGAGTGATAAGAAGATTACCAATAATCATAAAAATGATTGAATTAGATAAACTGTAGTCAACAATCAACTTATTCGCAAGACTACTTGCTGTGAAATCTAGTTACTGACTGTTTGCGCTGCCATGCACTTTTGTGGGAATGACACTGTTCATCTTCTCCCACATACGAGAAGATGATCCATTACATAAATGTAAGGCCTATTTCACTGAGGATATGAACATTCAGTCATCATTTACTCACCCTCACTTCAATCTAAACCTGTTTGACTTGCTTTCTTCCATGAAACACAAAGGAGATATTCTGAAGAATGTTCCAGCTGTTCTTTTACACAATCATCATGATTCATGTATCAGTAAAAGCAAACATGGCAAACAACATAGCAGAAAAGTGGTTTATATTATTTGTGCACTATATTTCAAGTCTTCTTAAGCCATACGATAGCTTGTGTTAGTAACAGCAAAAACAAGTTATTCACTACATTTTTTAGATCTCTTAGTTCTTCAAAAGACTTGGATTAAAGCATAAAAGCCAAATGAAGTACTTTTATGGAGCTTTTAATGTCCTGTTTGGAGCGTCACCTGGTCACTCTATGCTTCATTGTATGGAAAAGAACAGCTTGAACACTTTGCAAAATATCTGGGGTCAGGTGAAAAAATTATTTTGTATTTATGCTGGCTTTTATGTTTTTCATTTAACGACTAAAAATGTAATGTGGTGTAACCATCAATTAAAAAGTAGTATTTTCCATAAACATTGAACTCTGAATATAAATCATAAAAAAAAGGTTTCTGAATATATTTGAATTGTTTAAAAGTTTTTTTTTTTTTCACAAATATCACAAATTGTTCATAAATATCATTACATTTTAAAGGGTTGCACAACACATCATTTTACAACTTGAACTCACTTTTCCATGTCATAAAATAATTTACTTACAGGAAAAATATAGAAATACAGGTATTTTAAGAGACTCACTAGGAGCGTTCACGCCGCGTCGTAATTACGAAATTCCAACTCATAGAACTCATCCTTGTATGACTCATAATTATAACTTGTAAACTGGGAATTCTCTGAGAGCTGCGTCTTGTACCACCTGACCACTGCAGATTCATTTCGGCGCTATGCTTAGGCGATGATAGTTTTGCCATAGAAACGCATAATTCTGAGTCCGCGGATGTGAACAACTCTGAGTACAACGCCATGTGTTGTTATCTTGAAATTACAGTAATTATGACATGGCGTGCATGCAGCACTTGACCATAACATTTCCTGTTTTGGTTTGATTCTTTTTTAGCTGACTGCTGATTGTACCACATGACAGACAAAAGTTTTAATAAATTACTTTATATTAAAAAAATAAATAAATTAAATAAAAGATTATGACAAACAAAATAAAACACTTTTTTTAAATCAAGAATTTCATGTTTTAATTCTTCATTCTTTTTTCTTTATTTTATATTATGTCTCCCCGAAAATGGCAAAATTAATTGCAATTCAGAAATGAAAAACATGCTCATCACAAAAGAGGTCTTGTCATGTCGTTGACCCATTTCCTTTTGTATTCCACAGGAGAAAGTCATGTGGGTGTAGATGATATAGTTTAAACTAAAACTGAAACCATAAAACAATCCAGTACTTGAAATAAAATAAACATTTATAGAAATAAAAAAAAAATATATTATATATTTCCAGGTGCTATATTTCAGCTACTGTAGTTGCAAAGGCAAAATTCCTAATTTTCATTTAGTTTATAATGATCTACTAAAAAACTAAAAGTAAAAAAAATTATTAAAAAAACGATAGACATTTTAAAAAAATGAAAAGAAAAGAGATCTAAAAAATCAAAAAATAACTAATATAATCTCGATACTAAAATGATGTGAAGGTGAGTAAATACTGATTTTCATTTTTGGGTGAACCCTCTTTAAACAACCTGGGAAATGAATCTGCTGTCATAACAGTGAAGCACATTTAGTATGTTAGCGGTTGACTACGTACCTGGAGAGCAGTGCAGATGTATCCTGCGGAGCGGGAGGAGGTGGTGGCGGGGTCTTGGGAGGTCCACCTAATGTCATGTGTGTGCTTTCTGGTTCATCTAAAGGCGCTGTGACACTCTCATCAATTACCTTGGCTTCCTGTGTAGGACTTATGTCCTCAGGCGGCTCTGGGGTCACTTCCTGTTTGGTTTTGATGTCACTTTCAGTCTCTTCGTCGCCTTTAGTTTCTGTGCCGCTCTCACTGTCCTGATCTTGCACATCGCGTTCCGTAACTTCCACTTCCTTCTCTTCCACAACTTTCTCTTCACTCCTTTCTTCTACAACTTCCTGTTCACTCCTGTCTTCAACTCTTTCAAGCTCCTCCGTTTCTTCTTTCTTCTCGTCCGCTAGTGAAACATCTTCCTTCTCCACATGCTGCTGTCCATCTTCATCCTGCCCTGCAGAATCGCGCTCTCTCTGGCCATTTATATGCATCTCATGTCTAGGCCGAGCGTCAGTCTCTCTCTCCTCCTCTTCCTCTTCGTTTTCACTGAGTTCAGATGAAGATCTCACCTTTTTGGTGAGCAGCTGCAGTGTGACATTCTGTGATTGGAGGAGAAAAACACACTTGGTGATATATATATTCAGCATCATTACTCCAGTCTTCAGTGTCACATGATCCTTCAGAAATCATTTTAATATGCTGATTTACTGCTCAAATCAATGTTGATAACTGTTGTGCTGTTTAATATCTTTGCAGAACCTTTATAAAGCTGTGGAACGGAATAACAAGTTCAAAAGTACAGCATTTATTTGAAATAGAAAATGAAGATCTCACCTTTTTGGTGAGCAGCTGCAGTGTGACATTCTGTGATTGGAGGAGAAAAACACACTTGGTGACATTTTTGTCTGCAGAATAAAGTTCTAAAGCTCATGTTGTGTTGGACAGAGATTTTCCAGACCTTGATGGTGCTGACCAGCACTCGGAGAACAGCACTTCCTGTGTAGGTCTCATTCAGATCAAACTCCGCTCTGAGAGACTGAAACACTCCATTCATCACACGCTTCACCTGGAAATAATCACAGCTGAGCTTATAAAGAGTGATCCATGACTGCGCTTACTATAGGATGCCAATCAAAATTAAATGCTTTAAAAATATTCATACATTTTGTAAATACTTTAAATATAAAAAACATAAAATAACAAACATAAAATAAGTGAAAAATATATATATATATATATATATATATATATATATATATATATATATATATATATATATATATATATATAGTTGACAGATTATGAACATTATGTGTATAAAAAAGAAAAAATAGTAATATATATATATATATATATATATATATATTCAGCATCATTACTCCAGTCTTCAGTGTCACATGATCCTTCAGAAATCATTTTAATATGCTGATTTACTGCTCAAATCAATGTTGATAACTGTTGTGCTGTTTAATATCTTTGCAGAACCTTTATAAAGCTGTGGAACGGAATAACAAGTTCAAAAGTACAGCATTTATTTGAAATAGAAAACATAGTGTAACATTAAATGTCTTAACTGTCACTTTTGGTCTTTGTTAAATTATATAATTTTAATGCGTCTTTGCTAAATAACTAAATAGCAATGTCTTTTAAAAAAAAAAAGTACAGCCCCCAAGAGTACATGAAATGACAGCTTGATTGGATTTTTGTATTATTTTTTGGTGTTATATTCTCAATGGACAATGGTAATTATACAAAAATATTAAATAATTAAATAATCTACACGTACCTACACTTATTTCCATAGCGATGTGTCATGCAGGCACAATATATTTTAAAATAATAAAAAAAAAAATTATTTCATTACATAAATTAACGGTAAATGTACATAATTCTTTATTTTCTTTGAACTCATTTATTAACTTTACTATCCACAAAATGTATGTAAATGTTTTTAAAATAAGGCAGTATAACACCACCAGCACTAATAATATATGAAAACAACAAAATCAGGATTCTACAGTTTATGATAATAATTCAAGACTTGTTTACAGATGCATAGCTTGTCTCAAGGTACTGACAGTTAAATTCACACTACACTTGATAAATCCTGTGCAGATTTTTGACATTTGTTCCAAACTGAGAGGTTCTGATGCATTATATTGACACTGACAATATAGCATGTACCTTATAATTATTCCCGTACCTTATTGATTGTTATCTGTAATTCAGTTGGAGTTAGAGGGGTTGAAGTCTCACCTCTTCTGCTGTGTCTGTGTGCTGCTGCTGCTCCGTCAGTTTCCTCTCCAGCTCTGAAACTCGCATCTCCCCCCGCTGCTCCAGCACAGAGCACTGAAACACACACACAAGACCACTGTCAGCATGTTACACAACCTATTCTTAAGTCCTCAAGCTACTGTGAAGAGCTTAGTCAATCATATTACATCTCTCATATTACAATTACTTGCATACTATTTATTTGCAGCTTTTTATTATATTGAAGTAATTTTCATTTGGAAGTCTTAAAGATACAGTAGCAAAAAGGGTCAGAGAGAGAGAGAGGGCAAAAAATAGTTGGGTAAAACTAAATAATGAATATTTTAGGTGCCACTAACTAACACTAACATTACAAAACTAACAGACTAACATTGAAAAAATGAAAGAAATTCCATGAAAAAGTGAAGAATTTAGTCCTTTAAACAAATTCACAGAGGTGTAACTGAACAGCAATGAAGCCTGAGGCTCAACTTGATGTAAAAAAAAAAAATACAACAATGCATTTTTATGCTGACTGGAAAACTAGAAACCGGCGAATCTGGTTTTTCTGTGTTTCACCTTTTCTCTCAAGGCCTGCAGCTCTTCTTTCTGGTCCTGCTGCTGTAGTAAAAGCTGTTCCTCTGATTCACGGGACTGTTTGAGTGTAGTAAACTATGGACAGGAGATTCAAAATATTGTGTCAGTTTGATAAGTTAAGTGATTGTCTGTTTGACAGTTTAAGAAAAAGACAATATACAATTATTTTGTGACGTCGTGAGATTAAGAAGTCATTTCTTGTCAAAGTATTATAAACAGGTGTGGCCTTGCTCTGCGTGTGTGTGTGTGTGTGTCTTCATCTATAGCATAGCCCTGCATCATGGGAAAAAATCAGCTGATTTGCAAAAAACAAAAAGGCCTAATATGACCTAATTTGACAATATCTAAAGATATCAATACAACACAAAATACGATTATTTTTCTAATTTTATATATGTATGACTTATAAAAAAAAAAAAGTCAAATGTCAGAAGTTTCAAAATTGTAATGACAAAGTATTCAAAATGTATCATTTAACTTAAAATCTGCAAATGACTGAAAAAATATGTTCAAATACACCATTTAATGTCAGATGTAAAAACTTTAATGTAACAACTTACAGTTTATATATATATATATATATATATATTTATTTTTTGCTGTCGCTGTTTGGATGCAGTAAAACACCCAGAGATGCAGCAGAAAACATCTGGCTGATGTACACAGTCATGCATTTTCTTCTATCACTGGCCATAATTCTAACATTGAAATCAGGATTGATGTCATACATGTGAACATAGGCTGAGAAATAAAAAAAATAGTTGTAACCTGCTCAGAGGAACACAGGAATCATGTTTTTGTGGTGGTTTTTCTGTTGATTAAGGGACAATTCAAAACTTCATCTTACTAATGGTTGTCGAAAGCAAAAATGCTACAAAACACATCATATTTTGTGAGAAAGCATGACATGCTCCATCCAAACAGCCACTATTCTTGGAATGAGCTCCCTAAAATCAGTAAGAAACAAGTATTGGGTTTCATTCAGCACATGATGCAGGACGGGTGGAGTGCGTGCGTACCTTGTCCTGCAGCTGTGTGAGTTTGAGCTGCAGTGCGTCTCTGTGCTCTGAGAGTTCAGTCATCTCTCTCCTCTGCTGTTCACGTGCCGCTGCCAGAGCCTGATCACACTTCACCTGCCACTCCTGCTCCAGATCAGCCTGCAGCTGAGACAGCTACACACAGGCGCAAAAGTAAAGCTACTCACTTGAAGCTATATATTGAACGTGCCAACAGCATTATACAGTAACTGTCAGGAATGGGTAAGGAAAGTCAACTAGTGGCCATGAGTTCAGCATGGATCTATTCTAGTCATCATGTGCAAACACATTTACCTGTTCAGCTGCGGCTTGGTCGGTGCTCGTTCTGGCTTTACGTAATTGGCTCCTGAGGTTGTCTAACTCCTGCTGGCCCGCCCTCCTGACCTCTTCCAGTTCCTCATCGCAGCGCTGTCTCTCCAACTGCCACTTCCTCTTCCTCTCAGAGAGAGTCTGAATCACAGAGTTGAGGTGAGGAATCAGTTATTTGCTTTTCCCCCCTCATACAGGTACACAAAGACAGAAGTGTGAATTACTCACTCGTTCCAGACTGTCTTTCTCTGTTTTCATGTCCTGTAGCTCTTCCTCCATGTTGTTGAACTTGAGCTCCAGTTCCTTTCGTTTCTGTTTTTCCATCTTGTATTGACTCTGCACTCTGTCTGCTGTCTCCTTCAGCTCTGAAACAAACACACACATCAGACAGTATATCAAGCCTTAACCAAGTGTTCTCCATGCATTTTTCCACTCCCTAGTCATGTTTCCTAGCTGTAAAGCAAAAATGATGCCAAACAAATAAAGAAAGAAAGCGAAACAAAGATCAAAAAATGAACACAAAAGAAAAAAAAACACAAGAAAAAAAACAATCAAATTTAAAAGGAAAAAATAAAAAATAATAAAAATTAAAAAAAATCAAAAAAGGAAAACAAACAAACAAACAAACAAAAAAACTCAAACAATATCTAAACAAATCAAAACACCCAAACAAACATGCCCTGGCCATATTTCACCCAAAATGAAAGAGAGAAGAACAAAAGTATATTTTAACTAAAAAAATTAAGCCTATTTTTGAAACTTTATCTGTCATTTGCAGGCTTCCATAAAGCGTGGCAGCTCACTAGGTTTTTGAAAACGAGCTGTTCTGGTGTTATTGCGTGTGTGTTGGATTGGACGCTTTAACAGAGTTACCTTGTTTTGCTCTGCCTGCAGTATTCTGGTCTGACTCTGTTCACTGCTGTTCTTCAGAGAGTCGTTTCTCTGCTCCATCAGCTGATTACTCTGCTCCACGTACCTGCACAAACACAAACAGCCCTGAGTCACAATGTCACTTTGACATTTCTTTTGAAAGTGATAGTCAAAACAGGACAAGAAGTGATGGGGACAAGAGCAGGTAACAACATATAATGAGAGAAGATCCAAAACATGAAAAGACACAAAAAAAAGATGTCATGTATAAAGTGAGAGTGTTGAACTGAATTCTGACCTCTGGTTCTGGTTGATGAGTTCGCCGATCTTGCAGTTCTGCTCCTCAATGCGTGAACTTTTTTCAAACACCTCTTTCTTCAGACATTCATTCTCCTGTAAAAATGAAGTCACATGACATGCAGGTCAACACAATATTTCTGCTTTAAGTATTTTATTTTGATGAATATATTAAGTATTTATTTCTTTTCAATTTACATTGATTATTGTAAAAAACTGCTTTTCATAAACTCACAAACCGCCTGCAGTTCCCTCATGTTTTGGAAACACTGCACGTACTGACAGATATGAATGAAAGTTTGATTGACCAATCACTGTTCACCTGCCAATTCACTCTCAATCACCTGAATGATTCTCTGAATGTTGTGCATGATCATTGCTGTTTCCATTGATACGTTTGATAAGCCCAACGAAACACTGCCTTGCTTTTGTAGGTCATTAATCTGGAAAAAGAAGAGAGATTTCTCAAAAGGTTGTTCAAGTATATAATGCAGTTACGTAGAAAGATCTTCTAATAATGTATCAACCTTTGAGGACAAGTGGTCCAGTTTGTCTGCCACTTTCCCAACAGCCAATCGGATTTCAGTGTTGTGTTGTCGAGCCTCTGTCATCAAGAAGGACGTGACTTCACTAGTTCCTTAAAGAGACAGTCGTCATTTACAATCACAACCTTAAAATCATACATGAATTCACATCTGCAGCCGATAAACTACAAACAAATGTTTTGTCAAAGTGGTAAGATGATCTTTACCTTGGTAAGTCACAGTCTGTGTGGGGTACATCTGACTTACAGGCTGCAAAGAGGAAGTCACAGTCAACTGAGGTATCATACTTGGTGTTAAGGGTTTGTTCAGAGAAGAGTTGCAGCAGCCGTTTATAAGGTCTTACTTAAAGGGGTCATATGATGCGATTTCAAGTTAGTGTTGAAGCAGCCATATCAGGGAGACGCTGTGTGTTTCAGTACGAAAGCAAAAACAGTTTATTTGGCCTTCTGAAAGTAGATGCATTTAGGAATCTTTAAGATTACTTACAACAGAACAGCAATGCATTTTATGGACGTTTCGTGAACGTCCATAAAATGAATGAGGAGGATGAGGAGATGAGGAGGTCATTCTGACTTTGCTATGACAATCTGGCTCTTCTGAATCAGCTACTGTTTTGTTATTAGTTTGAGTATTTGCTATTGACTGTTCAAATGCGGAGTTTTGCGCATCGTGTGTGTGTGTTTGTGTGTGTGTGTGTGTGTGAGAGAGAGACAGAGAGAGAGCGAGAGAGACCAGCTTCATCACTGTGTCTGTCACGCGACTCTGTTCACCTTTCGGGCTCTGTATTTACATTTATTTTGAAAGATGAAGCTCACGATTATGGTAAGGGGCGTTACATTTCCGACGAGTGCTTGCGGTGTTCGGCCAATCACAATGCACTGGGTCAGCTGGCCAATCAGAGCAGACTGCGCTTGTCGGAAGGAGGGACTTTGTAGAAAACGAAGCGTTTGAGAGAGGCGGGGCATAGAGGACCTACAATAATATACAGTATTTGAAAAATAAAGTGTTTTTTGAACATTAAAGCATGTCAATATGTTCTGTTACACCAAATACACAAAATAGTGATCTTTAAAAAAGCATCATATGACCCCTTTAAATTGGAACGTAAAGTCCACATTAGAGGCTTAGTGACTACTAGCTAGTTTGTAATAACTCTAATTTGGTTGCACCTTTTAATCTTAAGGCAGTAAGCACTTTACTGAAGTAATGCACAGGTGCATAACATGATGTCTTTAATTACTCAACAGCAGCCTTAAAAGCTCAAAGCTCAAATCTGTGAGCAGGAGTTGTGTTGAAATGTAGTGAATTTCAGTTTATCCACTATGGAAGTCAATGGCTACCAACAACTGTTTGGTTACCAACATTCTTCAAAATACCTTCTTTTGTGTTCAACAGAAGAAAGAAATTCATACAGATCTGGAACAACTTGAGGGTGAGTAAATGATGACAGAATTTTCATTTTGGGTTGACTATCTCTTTAATATTATCAGACTTGTTTTTATAGTAATTATAGTTATATTTATTCTGAAGCATTACGGTTGAACTTACACAGCAATAGGGAGATACCCACCTGAAAGGCATGTACGGCTCCCGGCATCATGGGCTGTGGATTGGCTGTTGCCATGGTAACAGGTAGAAGGGCTGAAGCGGGAATGAAGAGAGAGTGCATACAATGTCATAAAGACTAAAATGACATAAGATTGGAACATTGCATTCCTATATACCTATAACAGTATATGGCTGAGCATTTGTGTGCTGGTTTTGTAAGTATCTGCTCAATTTCAACTCAAACTATTAAGTATATCTTTAAAAGGTGCAATATTTTATACCATGTTACACTCCTGGCCTTCATCAGAATATTATTTGATATAGGTGTTACCCTGCATTGAAGGTGGCGGGCCGGAGGAGATGTGTACAGGCTGCGGTGATGGTGCACTGCTACGTTCCTTGAGTCTGGACACACTGGCGTCCTACAGCAATAACAGGAACAGAGTGCATGAGGGTTATCGGTATGCATTCTCTCACATTAACACTGCATATCTTTACTAAAGGACAAAGACATCGATTACAGTGGCAGATGTTTGTGCTGTATCTGGTTAGGAGACAGACTAAAACCATTGTAATGAAGTTCTTACAATAATAAACCTTGCCTCAAGTTCGGAGTCACTAGAGTCTGGCTGTGAGGATGATGAGGCCGGGCCGGTGATGAAGGGCAGCATCGGCTGGCCCATTTTGGCCATGCGTGAGATCAGTTTAGCTTTAGTGGCATCAGGATTCTGAAGACATTTCAAAACATGTCAGAAAACACACAGCATTTATATTAAATTCTAATTATTTTCATACTATGACTAATTATTAATAAAGTGCCTATTATAAAAGTCTTTATGTAAAAATAAGAAGAAGAAGAATACAAATGAATCTAGGCATCAAAACATTATTATTAAAACTATGACTGATGGATATTCCTTTCTGAGATCTGCTAATGATTACATTTTACAGTGTTATTAAATATATATTATTCAATATTAACCTACACTACAATTCTAAAGTTTGAGGTTTGTAAGATTGCTTTTGAAAGCAATGCTGGCTGCATTTATTTGATCACAAATACAGTAAAACAGTAATATTGTGAATGTGAAATATTTATTTAAAATAACTGTTTTCTATCTGAATATATTATACAATGTAATTTATTTCTGTGATTCAAAGCTGATCCTACAGAAATCATTCTAATAAGCTGATTTGCACGTCAAGAAACATTTTTTTTTTATTATTATAAATGTTGAAAACAGTTGTGTGGCTTAATATTTTTCTGGATTCTTTGAATTGAAAGTTCAAAACAATATTTCTTTGAAATAGATCTCCTTTGTAACATTATAGTACATTATAAATGGCTTTACTATCACTTTTGATCAATTTAATGAGTCCTTGCTAAATAAACGGCTAAATAAAAACATGTAATTTCTTTTACAAAAAACATCCCCTCAACTTTTGAACAGCCTAAAGTCTAAAGCCAAATGACAACAAAGGTAAAAAATACAAATAAAAAGGAAAAAAGAAAATATGAGTCTGTATAATTAAAAATACAGTATATATCCAATATCGACAGATACTGATATGACAACTTCAAACTAAAAAGAAAAACATTAATGTTGGCCAATAACCATTATGTTACAGATTTATTGTGCACACCTATTTATTATAAATTTGTGTCTATATATTGTTGTGCACTAACCACTAAGCCACAGCTCCAGCTATATTTATTGGTAACACTTTTCAATAAGGTTCCATTTGTTTACATTAGTTAAAATGTACTACATTAGTTAAAACTCAGTTAATAATAATTGCAACATTTACTAATACATTATTCAAATCGAAAGTTTTATCTGTTAATATTAATTAATGGACCTGAACTAGCATGAACTAACAATGATCAGTTTTATTTTTATTAATTAACGTTAACAAAGATGAATAAATAAAGCAATTCAATTAATAAATACTTTTAGTAATAAAACAAATGTACTGTTCATTGTTAGTTAACATTAGTTAATGCATTAATTAATGTTAACCAATGAACCTTATTGTAAAGTGCTACCTATTTATTTGAATAAAAATCTGCATTAATAAAACAAAATGCTAAAAACAAATGCATACAGCTGGAAGAAAAAAACAACTTACACTGACCTGTTCATTGAGGGAGTTTGATTTTGCTCGAAGAGGTGCTTCACTGTAAGCAAAGAAGAAATGTAGCAAACAGAGAATTTAAACCAAATACTATTAATATAAACAATAATCTCCAGTCAGGCTACAGCCCCTGATAGCACACGTACATCACGGAGACGTCTATTTGATGTCTGCATTTACATCTGCAAGACACATTTTTAGTGTGTTTGCTCATCTGCAATACGTCTACAGGACGTTTCCTGTCAGATATCAAATAGACATTTAGAAGATGTCTTTAAGATGTTTAAGATTTAGAATGTATGTAAAACTGATGTCTTAAAGACATCTATCAGATGTTTGTACACAGCAGATGCTTTCCAGATCAAGCGATCTTTAACAGACATCTTGCAGACGTGCATGTGCTATGTGGGGCAGGAGGACTGTAGGGCTCACCTGGGTTTGCTGGTTGGTGGGGCAGTGCTGAAGGGCTGGTTGAGCTCAGTGGGGGCCAGACTCTCCACACTGGGAGCAGGAGACGGAGCCGCCGAATCTCTTGAACTTCCATCCTTTGCAAACTTAACCTGCACATACATTGAGAGAAGACTGATGATAAGAGCAGGGATGGATCTCAGTTTGCATATTCTCCAACAACACAAACTTTTGAGTATGTAACATTATACCGTATACATTATACAGGCAAACGTGAGGAAGTAGAGTGAAGCTCTGAATGTGAGAATGACGTACCCGACGGATCTCCGCTTCAAAGACTAGCGTGCTGTCCGGTGGGACGCGATTGTCAACGCCCTGCGACCCGTACGCGAGACTGGGAGGAATCACCATGAGCCTTTTTCCGCCTTTGCGCATATTCAACATCCCCTCCTCCCAGCCCTGAGAGACGGACAGAGAGCTTTAGACTGCCGTATGAGTGATAATGACACATAAAATCCAACCCAGCCAACTTCCCCCTCACCTTAATGACTTTCCCAGCCCCGAGCTTCAGTCTCAGCAGCTTGTCTTTATTCAGATTTGAGTCAAACATCTGGAGGAGAAGAAAATAAAAGATTATATAAAACTACACTCCAAAAGGTTTTTTTTTATTTTTATTTTTTTATAAAAATTACTTTTCTTAGAATGTATGTAAAACTGATGTCTTAAAGATGTCTATCAGATGTTTGTACACAGCAGATGCTTTCCAGATCAAGCGATCTTTAACAGACATCTTGCAGACGTGCATGTGCTATGTGGGGCAGGAGGACTGTAGGGCTCACCTGGGTTTGCTGGTTGGTGGGGCAGTGCTGAAGGGCTGGTTGAGCTCAGTGGGGGCCAGACTCTCCACACTGGGAGCAGGAGACGGAGCCGCCGAATCTCTTGAACTTCCATCCTTTGCAAACTTAACCTGCACATACATTGAGAGAAGACTGATGATAAGAGCAGGGATGGATCTCAGTTTGCATATTCTCCAACAACACAAACTTTTGAGTATGTAACATTATACCGTATACATTATACAGGCAAACGTGAGGAAGTAGAGTGAAGCTCTGAATGTGAGAATGACGTACCCGACGGATCTCCGCTTCAAAGACTAGCGTGCTGTCCGGTGGGACGCGATTGTCAACGCCCTGCGACCCGTACGCGAGACTGGGAGGAATCACCATGAGCCTTTTTCCGCCTTTGCGCATATTCAACATCCCCTCCTCCCAGCCCTGAGAGACGGACAGAGAGCTTTAGACTGCCGTATGAGTGATAATGACACATAAAATCCAACCCAGCCAACTTCCCCCTCACCTTAATGACTTTCCCAGCCCCGAGCTTCAGTCTCAGCAGCTTGTCTTTATTCAGATTTGAGTCAAACATCTGGAGGAGAAGAAAATAAAAGATTATATAAAACTACACTCCAAAAGGTTTTTTTTTATTTTTATTTTTTTATAAAAATTACTTTTCTTCTTGAGCAGCAAATCAGCATATTAGAATGATTTCTGACAGATCATGTGACACTGAAGACTGGAGTAATGATACTGAAAATTCAGCTTTGCATCACAGAAATAAATTACATTTTAAAGTTTAATAAAATAGAACATAGTTATTTTACATTGTAATAATATTTCACAATATTACTGATTTTATTGTATTTTTCATCAAATAAATGCAGCCTTGGTGAGCATAAGAGACTTCTTTTAAAAACTGAATTTACCGAACCTTAGTGTTGTTCTATAATTCTCCTAAAAACCATGTTTACATTTTAATCAGAATTCAACCATATTCTCATTATGTATGCATCATGTAAATACATTAACTTGCTTAGAGTATGTTTCAGATCATAATGGCATCTTATTTACTCGCCAAAGCCATTTTTATTTACACTGTCCATTTTGAACACTGCGGTCATTGACAAAACATCTTTACCTGTCCGATGGTGTGGTTTAGCAGTAGCCAGCCAGTGTAGGCCACTTCTAAAGAGTCTCCGTTCTCCACAGCCTGACCCTCACCGAGAACAAGATCCTGGATCAGGACTGAGTCTAACGCACCGCTGCAGTTCACTTTGGCAAGACAAACCTGAAACAATTATATCACTACGTAAGAAGCTCCTCATACAACATCACACGACAAAGAACAAATACAAACCTCTTTACAAAAGTCTGTAGCCGCTTTCTCGGATTCAAACATCAGCGACCAATTCTGTCTCTGGTCATCGTAAAACGTGCAGTAGTTACTGGGCTGGACCTGAAAGTGTGAGAGAGACAGTTAGAAATAACACATAAAAAAACAAACGTGTTGTCTGACTTGAATTATGTGAATAAGAGCTCACAGTGAGGATGAAGCCGCTGTGGATCCTGGCGGCCGTCACCTGCTTCTGTTGACTGACATACAGCAGGATCTTGTACTGAAAAAGAGTGCAGACATGTAAATGTGTTACGAAACACCTCCATTTAGAAGAACATATCATTCTAACCTCTTTAGTTGTATGATTTCCAAGGACCGCAGCTCCAAGCTTGCCTTGTTTCACATACTGTCCGTTAACACTGCACAGAAAAAACAGTGTATTCACAATATTAGTCTGCAAACTTTACATTACAACAGATAACCAGTGCTGAAAATACTTGTAAACTACACTTTGCTTTGGAAAACTGGTTTAAAATGTGCAGCACTACAGATCTGTACATATTTCATGCTTTATTCTTTACATCTAGAATGAAATAACAAATAATACATAAGCTTAAAAAGCCTTACTATCTGTAGGCATGTACTGCAGTAGCAAAGAGAACAGCAGGAGAGTTTGGTGGAGGTGCAGACTTTTGGGTTGAGGGTCCTGTAAAAACAAAACTTGAAATGTCAAAAAAAATAAATGATGTATAATAATCATAAAAATGACAGAATGTCACAAAAATCTGCATTAAAAAATATTATCATACCTCATATTCAGGTTTTTTTTTTCCCCCCCTATGAGTTCCTCTTACACTACAGTTCAAAAGTTTGGGGTCAGTAAGATTTATTCTTTTTTTTTTTTAAAGAAATGGACTTTTGGGTTGAGGGTCCTGTAAAAACAAAACTTGAAATGTCAAAAAAAATAAATGATGTATAATAATCATAAAAATGACAGAATGTCACAAAAATCTGCATTAAAAAATATTATCATACCTCATATTCAGGTTTTTTTTCCCCCCTATGAGTTCCTCTTACACTACAGTTCAAAAGTTTGGGGTCAGTAAGATTTATTCTTTTTTTTTTTTAAAGAAATTGATTTATTCGGCAAGTATGCATTAAATTGATCGAAAGTGATAGGAAAGATATTTACATTGTTCAGAATTCTATTTTAAATAAATGCTGTTCCTTTGAACTTTCAGTTTCCACAAAAATATGAAATGGGACAACTGATTGACAACATTGACAATAAACAGAAATGTTTCTTGAGCAGCAAATCAGTATATTAGAATGATTTCTGAAGGATCATGTGACACTGAAGACTGGAGTAATGATTCACAGGAACAAATTTAACACGAAACACTTTACAAGTAACCTGCTCTGTCTTGTCTGTTGGCGTGTTGTCAGTTTCCTCTTTGCTCTGCAATGTATTTTCACTGTGTGAGAACATGTGTGGCGTGAGAGCGCTGTGGCTAGCAACAGTAACGAAGGGGGGCGGGTCTTTGCGAAGGGTCAATTATAAATGCAGTTTCTAACTCCTTACCAATTTATTAAAAAAAAATTTGATTCCACGTGATATGACCACTTTTAAAGGGATGGTTCACCCAAAAATGAAAATTAGATGTTTATCTGCTTACCCCGAGGGCATCCAAGATGTAGGTGACTTTGTTTCTTCAGTAGAACACAAACGAAGATTTTTAACTCAAACCGTTGCAGTCTGTTAGTCATGTAATGGCAGTCAATGGGCTCCATGGCTTTGAGAGTAAAAAAAAACATACACAGACAAAACCAAATTAAACCCTGCGGCTCGTGACGATACATTGAGGTCTTAAGACACGAAACGATCGGTCTGTGCAAGAAACTGAACAGCATTTATATCATTTTTTACCTCTGATTCACCACAATGTCCAACTGTCCTGAGCGCGTTCACAACATCCGGCGCGTGGCACATGTACGTGCTCTGGCATAGTAGACATAGATATATACAGTATAAGTAGATGCCTCATTAGTGACTGTTTCTATGGGCCGCGATATGTTCCAAAATGTCGGACGCATCAAAAATATCTGGAGCGGTCGAATAGGGCATCTATACATATCTATGATAGTAGACGCATGTGCGGAAGCGATCTGTCGTGCGTATACGTCACTCATTATTTACACAGTGCAGAGAGATTGCGGCCCTGTTCACAGGCACTGCGATGATCTAAAGATATTTAGAAGTACAGGTCATCACAATGGAAGACGATTTTGATATATCATCAGACAACGTGGAATTTTTTGCCCGACCGTATTTATTTGACGTCACGTGCCGGATGTTGTGAACGCGCTCAGAACAGTTGGACATTGCGGTGGATCAAAAGTAAAAAATTATATAAATACGGTTTAGTTTCTTGCACAGACCGATCATTTCATGTCTTAAGACTTCAATATATCGTCACGAGCCGCAGGGTTTAATTTGGTTTTGTCTGTGTAT